ACAGCCGTTGCACGCACTCCCCATTCCAACCCCCGAAATGGTCCTTTCCACCTACCCCACCACCGAAGACGCCGTTCTCGAAAGAACATCCCCGTTACTAGCCCCTCCAATACAACTACAATCCGAACCAGCCTCCGCTCTCTCCAAAGCGCCCCCCTTGCAATCCCTGGGGGACCGTCGCTCCCCCTTACCCCCCGGCCACTCCCCCTTGCCCCCAGGTCACTCCCCCCTCCTAGTCACAAGAACCCCTGGCTCAGAACCCGCCCCTTTAGACCTGGATAACTGTGGGGGGGGAATGCCGCTGGTGGGGATGCAGTGTGATGGGCTGCCGGTGGGGATGCAGCAGCAGCTGCAGCAGGCGCAGGTGCAGAGCCTGCTGAAGCTGCATATGCAGGCTGCTGAGTCAATAGGCCAGGCGCAGGTGGGGGGAGAGAGAGGTGGGGTGGGGGAGGAGAGGAGCGGGGCGGGGAAAAGAGGGGCAGGCGAGGGGCGGGGCGGGGGTGGTGTGCAGCAGCAGATGCAGGGCCAACAGCAGCAGCCGCAGCAGCAGCAGCAGCAGCAGCAGCAGCAGCAGCGGCAACAGCAGATGCAACAGCAGCAGCAGCAGCAGCAGCAGGGGCTATTTCAGAAAGGGGAAGGTTCACCGAGCACTCTGTCGAAAGGCGTTCTGGGGGGGGTAGATGTGGTGAAGGTGGAAATGGTTGAGATTCAGGATTTGCCCCTGATACCCCCTGTTGATTCCCAGCAACAGCAACAGCAACAACAGCAGCAGCAGCAACAGCACCAGCAACAGCTACAGCAACAGCAGCAGCAACAGCTGCTACAGCAGCAGCAATATCAGCAGCAGCTGCTGCAGCAGCAGCAGCACTTACAGCAGTTGCAAGCACAGGCACAGCTGCAGGAAAGGCAGAAACTTACAGCAGCAACAGCAGCAGCAGCAGCAGCAACAGCAACAGCAACAGCAGCAACAACAACAGCAACAACAGCAACAACAGCAGCAACAACAACAGCAGCAGCAGCAACAACAACAACAGCAGCAGCAGCAGCAGCAACAACAGCAACAGCAGCAGCAGCAGCAACAGCAACAACAGCAGCAGCAGCACCTTGGAGGCACAGGGCAGAGGCAGGGAGAAGGGCAGGAGCAGTGGACAGGAAACCCTTATGGGACAGTACCCGAGGTGAAGGCTGAAGAGTATAGTCTATTAAATGCCCCTCATGGGGCGCATGGGGGTGCAAATGGGCATGTGAGCGGGCACGGAGCAGGGCTAGGTGGTGGTGGTGGTATGGGGAGTCACGAGGAAGAGGAGGAGGAGGACATGGATGAGATGGATGATGAGGGGGACGAGGAGGAGGAGGAACACCATCAGGGTCCGATCCCCCAGTCCCACCCGCACCACCGCTCCTACCCACCGCACTTGCTCCTGCACCCGTCACACCCTGCCCACCCTTACCAGCAGATGCAGCACCTGCCACCGAACTTTCCCTATTTCCACCACCCGAGGAATGGAGTCACAGGGCATGCCATGGGGCTCTCTTCTGTCTCCTCCCTCGCCTCCTCCAACCCGACTGCTTCGGCCGCTGCAACTGCTGCTTCTGCTGCCGCGGTTGCTGCGGCTAGTGCTGCTCCGGCTGCGGGTGGTTCATCTGGTGTTGCCCCTCTCACTGCTACTGCAACTCTGTCTGCTGCTGCTGCTGATGCGGCCACTGCTGGCGCTGGCACTTCTGGTGCTGCTGGTGCTGCCAGTGCAGGTGCTGCCGGTGCTGCCGGTGCTGCCGGTGCTGCCGGTGGTGCCGGTGCAGGTGCTACCAATGCTGCTGGCGCCCCACCTCGTTGGAACCCATCTCTCCCCCCCCACGCCCAATCCGTTCCTCCCATGATCCCACCCGCTCCACCCACCTCTGCTTGCACTCCTGCAAACGGCCCTCCCCCTCCGCAGCCCCTCCCTGCTCTCAGCAACCTCCCTCGCATCACCGGAGTCCCTGCTGCTGCCACCGCACCCATCCCCCCCGCACCCATCCCAACCACTCTCAACCCCATGCTGCTCCCGCCCTCGCTACCGACCCTCGACCCTGCTGTCCTAGCCTCGGTCCTAGACTCGGACGCGCGTCAGAGGCACCTTCCCGAGCCTCCAGACACGGACATGCAGGCAATGTTAAAAGCTTTACCGGAGCAAGGGCAGCTGGTGAAGGCTGTTCTAGAGGCAGGGCCGCTGCTGCAGCAGCTTCTGGCAGCGGCTCCTATTCCCCCTTGGAGGCCCTCTCTACAGCCTGCTGATCATCCTCTGCTGCTGCTGCTGCTGCTGCTGCGACGGCGGCAGCGGCAGCGGCTGCTGCGGCTGCTGGTGCGGGTGATCCGGGTGCGCTGTTTGTGCGGCAGCAAGAGGCGCGAGGGGAGAGGGAGCAGCAGGAGCAGATGCAGGGGACGGGGCAGCAGCACCAGCACCAGCACCAGCACCACCAGCACCAGCAGCAAGCAGCAGCAGCAGGGCAGCAGGGGCAAGCAGGAGGGGGATCATCCCAGCCAGCATCAGAGCAGCTTCCCATACCTGCTGGTGCCCTCCCTCCTGCCATGGCTCCTCTGCCACGTGTCAGGCTCCCATTCGCTCCCACCAGCGCCGCGGCAGCGGCAGCAGCAGCAGCGCTCGGCGTGGGTCCCTCCCCTATCCCTCTCCCACACCTCAGCCGCAGCAGCAGCAGCAGCCGCCGCAGCAGCAGCAGCATCAGCCCGACCCCCTGCCTTGCCTGTCCCCGTGCCTGGCTCATTTGGCCCTTCCGGTGCTGGTGCTGGTGGTGGTGCTGCAGCAGCAGCAGCTGCAGCGGCGGCGGCAGGTGCGGTGGGAGCAGCAGCACACCCTGTGCTGTTTCAGTCGTACGGCCCTCCCATTCTCGCCAACGGCCATCTGCCCCAGTCGTCCTCATCATCAGCGCGACTGAAAGGGGACAACCCAGGACTGTTGTGACTGCTCTCTGCATAGTAGCAGCGACAAAGAGGCTTTTGAGTTGGCCCAAAAGTCGGGCTGTTGTGACAGGCGTCGGTGTAGCATGGCAGCAATGTAGCATAGCTCCAGCCCAACGCAGCAGCAGCCGCAGAAGGCGAAGGAGCAACCCTGAACGCCCTGGGTGGGCGTTGCATAGGTATGGTACCGGCACAAGGCCATGCCATTGTTTAGCAGTGCACAGCAAGCAGGAAAAGCTCACAGCAGTGGCGGTGATACGGGTTTGTTGTCACCAATGGGCAAATTGGATCCCTTAGTTGAGGCTGTTATGGTGTACGGTAGATCTCTTCTCTCAACCCATCGAGGAGCGGAGGCATTCCATTAGGGCTTCTACATGATGGAATGTTATGGATGTAAGCCAAGTGTCGTGTCTTAGCGTAAGGGCGTGTTCTACGGCCTCTTACCTACCGTATCAGGCGAACCTCTTATCAAACTTGTGCAGTTCAATGCATTTCAGTGCGACTCGAATCTGACGAGGGGTTTGCCTGATGCCATAAGAGGCCGTAGGAAGAAACGCGCCCTGGAACTGGAAATGCAATGAAAGTAGCGAAGTACGGTACCGTCATCGCCCGGATATAAGACAGTGTTGAATAGTAGACAGGGGTTGTCTATTATACGGGTGTCTCTTATAAACAGGCTAGCCTTTTTATACGACACCTATTTGTGTGTACGGGTTAAGCAAGTGTAAAGGCTAGGGGCAATTGTATAACGAGGGGGTATCTTCTAAACGGTTCTTTGTCCATTTATAAGACTTATAAGACACCCTAAACCGTCCCAAATACAAGACAACCCAAGCATTTTTGCCCGTGTACGAGATAAGACATACATGTCTTATATCCGAGCGATGACGGTAGTAGCGAAGCCTTTATCAAGCCTGGCCTGAAATGAAGCAAATGCAGCACTTTTCTTGCAGCCTGAAATCAAGTCCCCTCCCCATTTCTCTTTTCATTTCCCATTTTTCCCAATTCCATAGCTACCGTACATTCACCTCCCCACATCCTGCAATGACAAAGACATACCGTATGCTCCTACTAAGCCACACCTAATGTACTCAGCCAATATATGGACCTGTTTTTGAAGGCTACTGGCAATACATTGTACTTTTCAGCACTCCTGCAGGCGATTTCTGCAGTGGCAGTGACCTGTGTGTTGGTGACATATCGACTCGTGTACTCAGCCAGTATGCATCTGATTCTCAAGACTTGAGGGGGCAGGGTTAGGGTAAGGGCAGACAGTCAGGTTCAGAATGCGATTTATTTTACTGCATGAAGTCTAGAGCATCATATTATGACAGAAAAAACAGCCAAGCAGAAGCAACCACCAACATCTCCCAGCAATTTTTGATTTAAGTAAAAGCTTCGTACCTCTGGCTCAATTGAGTTGCGGCAATGATGGGCGACTCTGGAACGCACAAGTGCACCGCTAACAGCAATGCCAGGGAGCTGAGGGTCTGTGGTGGAGTGAAGTGATGTGATGGGGGAGGGGATGGGATGGGATGGGATGGGATGGGATGGGATGGGATGGGATGGGAGGAACCTGAGATGGGTGGGCAAAATGGTGCGAAATGAAGATTAGATGAAGTATGATGGCTTGTGCCAAATGAAGCCCAGCAGCTCTGCTCTAGCAAGCAAAGAACTTGCAGGGTCGAGCTGGCAAGAGTAAATGGTGCACTGGCTTGCAGCGGTTTGGAAAGGCGTGTATACACGCATTCCCTTGGAGTCGAGACCAGATCGTCAGGACAGCACAGAGCACAGCACAGGGCCACAAACAGGGGAGGACGAAATGGTTGGGCAGAGCCATGGGACAAAAAGGGCCGCTCTCACCTTTTCTCGTCCATCAAGGTCGGCAACGCTCCTCCAGCACTGCTGCTGTGGCAGGCGCACAGAGAAGCGAATCCCCTGGCTGAACGGGACAAGCGGGTCAACTGGTGCCAAGTCAGCATCGCCACCTGGCGCCAAGGTCTGGTAGATCTCCTTCACCCGCGTCCTGATAGCATCAAGCCCTATTGCGAACTCTTTCTGCCGACGACTTATCAGCCCCTCGTGCACTTGCTTCACAGCGTTCCTCTCCAGCGTCACATCGGCTGCTTCCAAGAACCTTTCCAAGTAAACGTCCTCCTTTTTGTTGTACCTTAGAAATGTTCAGAACACACACACAAAAAAAGGATTGTATCTGACACGTAGTGCTTTCAGACTGACGTGCTTATGTTGCAGCAGACTGCATCACACCTAGTACAGTGTATCCAGAAGACGTATCAACCTACACACACCGAGGCCTACAACTACCAACACTCACACTCTCTCCTCATGCAAGCATCTGCTTGCGCAGTACAACACTCGAACACCCACGCCCACACTCACTCATTCGCTCACTCACAGATATCCCACCTGCAAACACACACAACAAGGCACTCTCACTCACTCATCAATGCAGCCCATGTCGACTCTTTCCCGGAGCGTCACGAGCTCTTCTGCCGAGGACTGCACCTTTGACTCCATCTCATCGTTGGTAGCTTCTGCAATCATGCGGTTACCACACAGCCAGGTTACCAGCCTTTCGAGTCTTTGCATATCTTCTTTGGATGCCTCTGCCACAGCCTCGGCTACTTGGCATTGTGCCGCGGTCGCACTCCCCTCTGCAGTCTCAGGCACCTCTTCTGTCTCACTCCCCTTTGCGGCCTCAGCCTCAGCCTCTAGTTCAATAAAAGCGGACTCCCAACCTGCTGCCTCTAACCACTCGCCCAGAGTTTCGGAGGTGAAAGTGTGAACAAGGCCTGCCTCTTGTATGTCCTCGTCTGACACACGTTGATCCTGCATGCTGCAACAAAAGGGTGGAGGGGAGGGGAGCGGAGGGGGGGGGGAAGGGAGAGTGGTTGGGTGGCGGGAGGAGAAGGAAGGAGATGCACACCTCGGGGTTGTGAGGGGGACAAAAGGCCTGCCTTGTCCGTACCCACATTCGATCACATGTCTAACGCACTGCTCGACAGTTGTCAGCTTTTGAAGTTTCTTAGAGAATAGTTCTCTTCGAGACTCAGGTATGGCAGTGCATAAACGCTCAAGAGTTGCAAGCAGAAGGTAGAGAAAGATGAGCACTGCTCAGAGGAGCGAGCAGCAGGCAAAGAGTTGGGGATAACGGACTCACTGTGAGATCTGGCATGACAGTTGCACCGCGTAACGCTTGAGCACATTCCTTGCCCTGCTTGAATGGCTTGCACCTGCTCGCTGACGGTGCTGCAAAAGTGATTTTTCTGTTTGTGTGGCGTGTGGCGTTTAAGGAAAGAATGGGAAGGCGTGTGGATGAAGAAAGAGGACAAACAAAGAAGAAGTTAGAGTGAGGGACATGTGAGGAAAGGATATTATGGCTTCCAGTGTAATTGCCAGAAAGAAAGACGAGCCTAGTGCGTAGCGTAACGCCGATTCTCGTTTTGTGCAGTTTGAAATGCTTGATTTGATCGGCCTTTCCTCCCTCATTCTTCGCCTAACATGGAATGTGCCTTGAGCATCCATTCGACAATGGATACAGAAAAGAATGGGAAGGCATGTGAAAACACACAGAATGAGAGTTTGTGCTTACAATGTGAATGGTATGGGAGGAAAGATAAACCCATTGTATGATAATAATTCACATTGGGCTCTGCACAAATCCTATAGCTTATCCATCTCCCACTTGATATCCTCAAGTGTGTCTTCTCTTCTTGTAAATATCTTACTTCCCCTGCACCCATCTCACTTCCCCTGCACCCATCTCACTTCCCCTGCACCCATCTCACTTCCCCTGCACCCATCTCACCTTCCCTGCACTCATCTCACCTCCCCTGCCCCCATCTCACCAATCCAGACTCGTTTTTCTCAAACTGGCTCTGAGCTGCATTCAACTCCTTAGTCCTGTCACGGCTCTCCTCCTGCTTGCGGTCCAATAGCTGCCAGGAGAGGTGCAAGCAGGGGAAGGGGATGGGGGGAGAAGTGAATTCCAAGTCAGTCCCCTCTCTACAAGCACCCCACCACTCTGATTGTGCAGGGAGAAACACAAGACGGCATTGTGAGGCATGCAGAGAGGCGGCTGAGAGGGATGGAGAAAAGTGACACGGAGAAGGGGAAGGAGCAAGGTGTGAGCATGCATGGTATCCTTTGCAATGCATCCCAAGGCCTCTCTCGTTTCACTCTCAACTGAACTTGCTGTTCAATGCTATAAGCCACCTTACAACCGTGTATAACATACCATAACATACCCCATAACATACCTTGGTCAATCGTTTACAGTTTTCGTTCACTATAAGCCTCTGCAGCGACAGTTTCTTGTCCTCCCTGATGCTTTGCTTCCTATCCATGCCTCTGCTGCTCGTGCCTTCCCTTAGGTTGCTCAGGATCTTGTTTTTCTTGGGATATTTATTCTCCTGCAGACACAATGAGGAGGAGACACGATGAGGACAAGAGCGGTAGTGGTTGTTGCGTGAGCAGGTGGTATGTGATCGGAAGGTGCGTGATTCTGTTAAAAACAGGTCATCTCAATACCAAAGAATATCTCATATCACAAACTGTGCCTCGTACGTGAAATATCGTCCTTATACGTCTGGTCTTACTTGCCAGATGCAGCCGCAACCAGACCTTTCCATCCCACGCCTAACTTCCATCCGCATAGTTCAGTCACCCACCTTGCCTGTCTTGCAGGCAGGCATCTTCGTCGCCAGTGCGTTTTTCTCTGCAACAGCAGCCCGCAGCTCTTTGGAGAGGGCCTAATAAGAAAGCTTGCAATGTTAGGAACACAGACAGGGGGAAAATCGAAAGGCGGAGCCAGACAAACCGAAGAGAAGGAAGACTGATCCAAAATATATATTTTTGGGCCAAGTTCCCACTTCTTTTCTTTCTAAACGCTACCCTTAAGACTCACATTGAGCTCCTCTGTGCATTTGTCAGAAGCAATTGTTTTGCACTTCAACTCTTTTGTAAGCACGAACGACGTCTTCCTGCATCCAATTGTGCTACAGTCAGTGGGCTCAGACCCTCAGCGCCTGGCAGAGACCCTCCTTGGACTCTCATGGCCTGCTGTAGCCTCTGTCCAAAACTTCATCCAATTCATCATGCAATGGACGAAGACAGTACATGCATAAAAAGAAATTGACACTTTTCAATGATTTTCTCTATGTCAGAGTCACCTGCTTGCTGCAGCTCCATGCTCGACAGTGACACCCTCCTGCAGCAACAAGTACATCTCAACCCGCTTCCCACCAATCCCCTACCGCACACCAGCTCCCCGTCTCACCTGTCTTCCTCAATCTCCCTTTCAAGGTCTGCGGCCTGAGTGATGAACCCTTTCATTATTTACACTGCCGCCATGTTCAGCTGCGTGTGCTGCGCCTCCTTCAGCAGAAAGTCTTCAGCCGCTTTCTTTTGCTCCTGGAGCCCAGGGCATGCAAGCGATGGGGTTGGTTGAGTTAAGGAAGTGGAAGTGGGTGACAGGAAGGATCGTGTGCCCATATCATTCTCACTGCGTTTGCCCTCGTTCAACAAGAACATGATTGGAGGGGAGCGTGTGTAAGTTTGGGTTAAGGGAATCGGTGACAGGAGGGCGTTAAGACATGTGCTACATCCCCTTCGTGTTTCTCCTATAGTGCATGATGTGTGATTCTTTCTCCTGCATTGCATTTTTTATGCTTCCCACATAGTGTCTATGCTTCTCCTTGCTGTATAATGCACTCACCTCCAGTTGGTCCTTTTCTTTTTCCGCTAATTGCATTCGTTCCATGAAGCCCACCCTTCTCGCATTCAGATCCTCCAGCCTGTACACACCAGAAAAGCAGACAGGCAGGCAGACAAGGTGGCAAGCAGACGAGGAGGCAAGCAGACAAGGCGGCAGAAAACAAGGATTATGGCAAACAAGCGGGTCAGACGAGCGGGTAGTCACAGCACAATCAAGCACCCACCCTTGTATTGAGCTATCTTGTTCAAATTCATCGCATGAAGGACAGCACTCAGCAGTACGAGTCTAAATAAAGTGCTCTGAGAGACAGAGCAATACGGAACAGAGGCATTCAGCCACAGGGAGAACCTGCTGGTAATAGGATTCGAGTTGTTTCATTTCTGCGGACTAGTGGTACTTACACCAATGTTTTGATTACTGAAAAAGAATCTCGCACCATCGGTGCTTAGATGAGAAATTATTACCGTTGGGCTTGTTCCTTGATCTGCTCGATGTACTTGTTTGTTCCAACAGCCTTCTCAAGAAACTCCAACAAACCCTCTTCTTGAGGCCGTTGCGCCTTTGGTGTCATTGTTGCAACCCGCTCCAACTCCACCTGCAGTCCTCAACACTTGTTAGAAGCCAGTTGTAACCTACAGCTTGTAATACTTGCAAATGAATTTGTTACCATCCAATAAGACACGAATTAACTATAGAAACACCACACCTGAAGGACGTGGAAACATTCATTGCTGAGGTCGATCCCCTTGTTCCTCAACAGTATGGTGATCTCTTCTAACGAGCTATCATGACTCTTGACACCATGCTTGGCCGTGTCGTTGCAGCAGGTTGTACGGGATACAGCGGACTCTGATCCTGGCACTGTCTCGTTTGTATCTATTTCCTGAATCAACCATTGACAGTTACACGACGTTAGACATCTCTACTTGAGCAACTCTTGCCCTGGATGCAGAAACAAATGTAGATGAAATGCACGAAGAACGCACCGGATCAACGATCTCCTCGAAATGCAGAGACACTTGAACAGATTCTGGATAATCGCGGTCGGTGGAGGTGTTGAAAAGATCAGTGACTTTGTTCTCATGTAGCTGCAAAGGTCCATGTCACAGAGCAAGGAACGAACAAGCAATTCCAACACTTGAAAAATGTTATTAACGTGACATGCGAAACGTGAGAGCCCATGATGAGGTTTCAGATCAGAATTGCTGCATGCTGACTTCGGAGGCGCAGCTGCCTGAGCATGATTTAAGACATTGGTACTGCAGATGGCCTTGATAGACGTTGCTAATACGTATGATAGACATCGCTGAGCATTATGCTCACATTGCTGCATGATAATGACAATCGGTATTCATAGTAGTTATGTTAGACATTGCTGGTCTTGTTGATTGACATCGGTGCTGATAACGACTGACATTGCTGTTGATCATTATAGACAGTCGGTCATTTCATGATCATGCACATTGCCGGTGATTAGGATCGGCGAAAATGTTGATGTCGTTTTCATAGCCGCACAATCAAAAACCGTCGCTGCATAAAAATCCTAGAAGTAACCACGCCTCACATTTCACAGCACGAACCTGCTCAACTTGCATCTCGAACAAGAGCGTCGCGTCTATCGCTGCTTTGTCTGCCATTGCCATCACCACCGACGCAAATATCAGCCGTTGTCAGCTTGCTAGGTTGGACGATAGTGTGGTACGAGTACTCGTTCAGATTCACTAACGATTTCAAGAGAGATTTATGTCAAATTTTAGTAGTTGATCGGTTAACTAAACACTCCGATGGAAGCACGCGCAGCCGTGTTTAGCAGCCACGATAGTAGCAGAGAATGGCTGACAGTTTTCTAACCAACGTTTATTTCTCCTCCAATCGTAAATGCTACAGAATCAGGGAACTCCGTGCTGGTGAGCGAGCCAAGGGACAACCATGTCATTGCGTGGCTGGAGCTGTGTGGGAGAGGGGGAGGGAAAAAAATATGACCGTTGGAGGTTATTGCACGATGCTATGCCAGCCGAATTCCAACCCGCCCATACATTCTCCATGTTACCGCTTTGAACCGCAACGAAAACTGCAAGCATATTCAATTACAGAATGAATAGCTCACACAACGCAGGAAGCGCGATGCGAGGCAAGCAGCCTCGAGTTCCTCACTTCGTTGAACCACGAACCCCTTGGTGGTCGGCTGTGAGAGCGCTGCATGGATATAAATTTACACCGGTTGTGCACGGTGCTGCACGGCGCCTCTTAGTGGGGGCAACTAGATTTTGCATACGGAAAGCACTCCAGAATTGGACCAATACATCCCAATGCTACTGCAGCTGAAATAATGGTGATACTCGGCCAATGTTTTTGCAATTGTAATATCAATTACTCGTAGATTGCAATACACCCCCACAATGGCTCCAAATGGAAACTAAAACAAACCCAGCTGAATGCAGCCATGGATGTGATGAGATCAGACAATATTCAACGTGCAGAACAATTTGAGTGGGAATGGAGCGGAAACCAGCACAAGAGCGAAACAGGAATACGATAGCAATGGAGACCTCAACAATGAAACGAAGTGAAACCCAAACGGGTTTACGAAGACCAATTTTCAAGTGAACGAGTCCAAAAAGACACAGTAATGACACATTTAAAAGGCAAGGAAAAAAAAAAATCTAATCAGTCAGCAGCATTTGCAGAGAAGAGGTGAAGCATGCCTAGCAATCGGCTAGGATTCAACAGGGAGGACACAGAAGCGGGCCCAATGGAGAGAGTCGAGATGCTCCAGATAGAAAGAATATGGGAGAGAGAGACTGTAAGATGATAAGGACCAGTGGCATAAACGAAGAAAACTGAGAGAGCGTGGAACAATCCACGGCAGAGAGCCGGCGACGGAAGCGATGCCAAAACGCAGGTAGAATGAGGCTCAACGCGGACAGAGTTGCAACAAACAGAGAGGCAGAGCCGCAGGCGATGAAAGGATGCAGATGAGGTGAGGAGCGAACAGAGCTGGAACAGACTGAGGCAGAGCCGGTTACCGGACGCGATGAATAGATGCAGGCGAGAGGTGAGGGGAGACAGCAAGGAGGGAGAATCAGAGCCGGAGGAAAAGAGTGCCGGGAGCCAATTGAAAGAGAGAGAGAGGGTCCTTCCTGAGGCTATGAGCCGAGGCAGACTGCAGAAAACAAGGTGAAACAGAGTCTGTGTGGAAGCAGGATGGATTGTGGTGGAAGAGAGAAGCTGAGGTAGGACTGCGAGGAGGAGCTCAGGAGGTGGTGCGTGTGGCCGCCAACACAAACCACCAAGGACGCGTCAACAGCAGATAGGAGCAGTGAATGACAGAGAGAAACACATGGGCAGGCGCACAAAAATGAAGCTACCAGAAGCCAACCAGCAATCACCCCTCCCAGATGCTGCAGTCGCTCCCCACCAGCCTTCAACACATTCATTGTGAGCCGATCCACCAACTAATCAGGCGCCTACACTCCCTTTTTCAGGCGCCACAGAAGCAGACTCCCGTTCAACAGACTCATACCTACGGAGCAGCAGCGTAACAGACGGCTCTTAAGCAACAGCTACTGTGCGCCATAGTACCCTGCATACACCACCCCCTGCTGCTGCTGCCCTGCCCCCTGCTGCTGCTGCTGCTGGGCCTGCAGCTGTGGTGTTACCTGGTAACCAGGCCGCCCAGCAGCCCCTCCTGCTGCTGCTGCGCCAGGCTGGGGAGAAGCTTCCCCAGCGCCGCCTTTCCCTCCCTGCTGCTGCGCCTGCATCTGCCCCTGAGCCTGCCCCTGCGCCTGTGACTGCAGCGGATAATAAACCCCCCCTTGCGGCGCAACCCCCCCTTGCGGCGCAACTCCCACTTGCGGCGCAATTCCCGCTTGCACGTACCCGCTTTGCGCGGGCATTGCCCCCTGGGGCGCATAGTAGCCCTGCGCGGGCGTCGCTTGCGCGGGGTAACCCTGAAGGGGAGGTGCAGCAGGCGCAGGCTGCATCTGCGCCGCTTGGGGGGCGGCGGGAGGGGCTGCGAGAGTTGGGGCGGCAACAGCAGGGGTTACGTACACAGGCTGCTGTTGGTAACCAGCTGCGACCTGCTGGTAACCACCTGCGGGCTGCTGGTAACCAGCCGCGGCCTGTTGTTGGTAACCAGCTACGGGCTGCTGATACGCTGCGGCGGCGGGCGCTTGCTGGTAGTACTGCGCTTGCAGCGCAACTTGCCCCTGCGCTTGTGCTTGCGCCTGCGCCTGCGCTTGCGCTTGCGCCTGTGCCTGCGCCTGCGCCTGTTGCGCGTACACGTCCGCCACCTGATACACCTGCTGCTGCTGCGGAACCGTCTGGAACTGCTGCGCCTGCGCCTGCTGCGCGTATGCGGCGGCGTAAGCGGCGGCTTGCGCGTCCCCCCCATAAAACACCATTTGCGGATACCCCTGCTGCTGATCCGCCTCCGATACTACCCCCGGTAGCCCCATTAGCCCCGGCTGCTGCAGCTGCTGCTGTTGCTGCTGCTGCTTGCCTCTGTTTTCCCCGGCGAGCTTGCAAAACACCTGATGCCCATGAATGATCTTATTCGGCTCCTGCAGAACATTCTGCGCACCTTCCGCGGTCTTGAAAACGAAGATCGCGTACCCGCGGCTCTTGCTCGTGCTCTTATCGAATCCGATCGGACCCTCCTCGATATCTCCGTACTGCGAGAAGAACGACAGCAGCTGCTCTGACGACAGCTCCACGTGGACGTTCCCCACGAAGATCTTCCGCGCCGCCACGTCAGCGCTCGCCGAGCCGCCGCTTGGGCCGAGCGACGCCAGCTGGCAGACGACCATTCGCCCGTCGACGAGCTTGGAGGGCTCCTCCAAGGCGCGAATGGTGCCGCGCAGCGAGCGGTACGTGACAAAGCCGAAGCCGCGCGAGCGACCCGTCCCCTTCTCCTTGATGATCTGCGCGCACCCAGGGATGGCGGGGGAGAAGGCGAAACGGGGAGACGGGGAGACCAGGGATTGAGATGCATCGTGTGCAACAGGGTTTACTCGCAGTGAGCGGTACGTGACAAAGCCGAACCCGCGCGAGCGACCCGTCCCCTTCTCCTTGATAATCTGCGCACCGAGGGAGGGCGGGGGGGGGGGGCGGGGTGGGCGGGGAGGGGGGGGGGGGGGAGGGAAACGGGGAAGAGAGAGGTCCGGTTACGCAAAAAACTCGGGAAACGAGGGACACAAGGTGGAGCAGATAACCCAACCCGTTCTTTCACCTCAAGGCCAATCCTCCCCACCTGGAGGTCGTCAACGTTCCCGAAGGACTCGAAGATCTACTGCCATCACAGTCTGCAATCTGTCCACATTTCGAGCTCATCCCCATCATCCCCACCTGGAGGTCCTTAACGTTCCCGAAGGACTCGAAGATCCATCATCGTGCCCTCCAAAAGCCTTTTCTCCCCATCCTCCCTTTTCAATCCTCCCCATCCTCCCTTTTCAATCCTCCCCACCCTCCCCACCTGGAGGTCCTCGACGTTCCCGAAGGACTCGAAGATTCGGCGGAGCGTGTCGTCGGTGGTGTTGAGGTCGAGCCCGCGCACGAAGAGTCGCCGCTGCTGCCGGTCGCGACCCACCACCTCCATGATCGCGTCGGCCACGTCGCTGTGCGACATCGCCGCGCTCACCAGCGCTTCGCGAACGTCGCCGTCCTTCATGACGTCGACGAGCATGCGCGCCTGATGCGCCGTGAGCGCCGCGGGTGGATCCTCGAACCTGGTGTGGTGACGACCGGAGCCTGACCCACCGTTGGCGTCCTTTCCTTCCGCTTTGCGCTTTTTAGAATCTTCCATCGCCATTGCCGATAAACCCGCTTCTGAACGACGCGGAAAGACTACAGCTGACGGACTATTGACTAACCGGCGATTTCGATACCTAACGAGCCACGATCTACGGGTATATTTAGGTGTCCTGGGCGTTGAAGCAGGAAGACGAAGGCCTAGAAGTACAAACCATCCTAGATCTAGGTCAGGATTTCTCCGTGTTCAAAAACATAGAGCAGGACATGATCAAGGACGCGGTACAAGAGCTGCTTCGACACTTTCTAAGCACGCCAGAACTTGATTAAAACATTTGTTGAAAACTTTAGTACAGACTACATTACTACAAGTGGTAATTTGCAATGTGTATCTTATGTAAATGATCTCTTTCGAAAAGAGCTCCTAGGCCGTTTATTACATCAAAAACACCTCGATAGGCCTGAAAACCTGGCTTGGTGGCTAAGATGGAACAAAATCTCATCAATCGCACCATGCTCCTACGCCTCTTATGAGGCGAACCTCTAGTCAGACTTGCTTGAAATGTGCTAAGGGTTTTTGGTTTACATGAAATTCAGTGTGAAGCGACGCGAGTCAAGAGGTTGGCCTGATAAGGAGCCATAGGACAAGCCTTAACGGCTGGAAATCCATGGTGAAGAAGAATACGGAACAAATATTACAGTAATTCCTTAAACCTATGCTTACAGTATTTCACATGGGTGCTATACGATTTAACTACACTTGAAGAGTGGTTAGAGACTACACCCGCAGCAGCAGCAGCAGAGTGGGTAGGTATGGAGGGACCCAAGGCTGTAGTCATTGACATGCATTGGAGAGGTGCAGAGGGGGATTATGTGGTGGTGAGAGGTGCTGAATCTGGCACGTGAAACTGTTGAGAAGGCTTGGCAAGCAACGCTGGGGAGGGACCCAAAGCTGTAGTCATTGGCATGCATTGGAGTGGTGCAGAGGGGGATCATGTGGTGGTGAGAGGTTCTGGCAAGTAAGACGGGAGAGAGGCTCTGGAAGCTTTCGCGTTAAGGGAAATAGAACCAGAGCTGAAGGGGGGAGGATAAAGGGAGATCGACTGGTCGTCATTGACCTTCATTGGAGCGCTGCTGAGGGGGGTCAAGTGGTGGTGTGGAGGCGGGAGCACAGGGGTTACCAGAGAGGACGAGAGACCTGGTGTGGGATGAGAGCACAGGGAGAAGCAAGCAGAGGGGTTACCGGAGAGGACGAGAGCACAGGGGTTACCGGAGAGGACGAGAGACCTGGTGTGGGATGAGAGCACAGGGAGAAGCAAGCAGAGGGGTTACCGGAGAGGACGAGAGCACAGGGGTTACCGGAGAGGATGAGAGACCTGGTGTGGGATGGAAGGAGAGCGTGAAATGGGCGGAAAGAGACAGGCCATTCGAATCGTTGAAGTTGATAAAACACAGGGAGAAGCAAGCAGAGGCCGATACGAGGTGCAGGAGGGATGGTGGAAGTGGTGGGAGATGACTTTTGAGTCGACTCAAAAGTCACCGCATAACAGGTGCAGGAGGGATGGTGGAAGTGGTGGGAGATTGAGGAGAGGCAGGTTGTGTGATGAGCATCACTTTATGCGGGTTGTGTGATGAGCATCACTTTATGCGGGTTGTGTGATGAGCATCACATTATGCGGGTTGTGCGATGAGTGTGAATTGCCAGGTACTTGCTTGTGCTCTTTAACAAGGACTCACTCACTCACTCACTCACTCACTCACTTTTGGTGTGAAACTCACTTGAGGTGTGGAAGGGCGGACGTGAGCTGGAGGGGCGGAGAGGAGAGGCGGTTGTGGGAGAGGTCGAGATGGCGAAGAGCGGTGAGGGAGGAGAGCGAATCGGGGAGAGCCTCTAGGCTGTGAAGGGAGGGAATTGGGAGGGAGAGAGAAGAGAGTAAGGAACGGGGGGGGGGGGGGGGGGGGAGGGATGGGGAGAGAGTGGAGAGTGGAGAGAGGGGATGGCGAAAGGCAGTGCGGGAAGCGAGCGAGTCGGGAAGGGCCTCTAGGCTGAGGGGGAAGGGATGTGGGGGTGTGGGAGAGAAGGGATCAGCTGTGAACGTCAAAAGCGGGTGAAATGAACCATGGAAGAACAGAGAAACGTCCATCTGAGAAGGGAATTTTGAGGCGCCTTTTTTTTTGTTTTTTTTTTTTTTTTTTTGGCGATGCAAGATACACTATAGCAGCGCATACAAGCATAAACAGTCGTAACTGTGGCCGATGGGCCTAGACAGCAACCCGCCGTCGTACCCATCCTGACACTTTACGGAGGACGGAAAACCGTGCGCGGATTGGCCCAGATGGAGGTGAAGCCACTGGTCCACGCAAAAAAAAAAAAAAAAAAAAAAAAAAAAAGGAGGCGCCTAAAAAATCATCTAGCTGAGAAGGGATACAGTTCAGATGGAGTTAGGTGAGAGGTGTGGTGTGTTGTGGTGGCACACGCGGAAGGACAGCACAGGTGAAGGGAGGAGGAAGCAACACGCAAAGAACGAGGAGTGCGAATTCCCCAAGGTGCAAAATGGGGGAATGGGTAGACATGAACGATAAAGAAATAGATTCGACTTGGATCCAACGGTCCTAACTCGCTCTATTCTACTCTAGGCTGAGTTGAAGCTAGTAGGGAATGAATAGGTAAGAAGTTTGTCATTCAAACCTGAGCGTACGCGTTTCGGCCAGTGGCCTTCATCAGCGCTCTCAGAATTACAAGAAAGACTACCCCTTATCTACTCCCATCTACCTTGCCCAACACTCAACCAAGAAACAAAGATCCAGAGCGGCTCGTCATTGCGGCTCGCTAGCTGGCTGTACAAAACATTTGCAATGCAATTCAACATGCAGGTTGGTGGGACGAATTCAATCCCATCAAATTACGGGGGTGGTGTGTCCCCGTTTTCTGAAACCTCGCTTTTACCAAGAGGTTACGTATCCTCTTTGGAAGGCGCCAACACACTAACATCCGTGGGAGGGAAATTTGTTGCAGCGAATGTTTTTTGAGACTTCTTTTTGAGAATGTTTTTTGAGAATTCTCAAAAAACATTCGCTTTTGAGTCGACTCAAAAGTCGAATGGGGGAATGGTAGACATGAACGACGGGAGGGTGGTGAGGCATACGGTGCAGTTGGTGTTAAATGGCATCTAGGCCACCCTACCCCACTGCCATCCTACCCCACTGCCATCCTACCCCACTGCCATCCTACCCCACTGCCATCCTACCCCACTGCCATACTACCGCACTGCCATCCTGCCCCAATGCCATCCTACCGCACTGCCATCCTACCCCACTGCCATCCTACCCCACTGCCATCCTACCCCACTGCCATCCTACCCCACTGCTGCCATCTCACCTCCTCTTGCTGCTGCACTCAAGTCACTAGGGCCAGGCAATATTCTCACCCGTTGTGAGCGAGAGTGAGGGAGGTGAGGCACGGCAAACGAGAGAGGGCGACGCCCAGGCGACATATGCAGGGCTCAGTGACCTGGTGAGGAGGGGAGGAAAAGAGGGGTTGCGGTTGTGGGGAGAGGGGGAAGGAAGGGGGGGGGGACGGGGGTCTGAGCCTGCAAATGAGGCGTGGCAAGCGTGAGAGGGCCACATCCAGGCGACAGATGCAGGGCTCAGTGACCTGGTGAGGAGGAGGGAAGGTGAAAGGTGGGGGGGGGGGGGGGGGGGGGGGGGGGGGGGGGGGGGGGGGGGGGAGGGGGGGAGGGGGGGAGCGGGGGGAGGACGGGGGAGGTGAGGCGGAATGTGAGAGAAGGCAACGCCCAGGCGACATATGGAGGGCTCAGTGACCTGGTGAGGAGGGGAGGGGAAAGGAGGGGGCAGGAAAGGAGGGGAGGGGGGGAATGGTGGGGGAAGGCAACCACCCAGGCGACATATGCAGGGCTCAGTGACCTGGTGGGGGGATGGGTGGTGAAAGGAGCGGGTTGGGAAGAGATGGGGGATACGGGGAGGGGAGAGAGCAGAGCAGGGCATGCCTTGGCGACATATGCAGGGCTCAGTAACCTGGTGGGGTGGGGAGGGGTGGGGAGGGGCGGGGAGAGGTGCAGCGCAAATACTCACCTTGTCTCCCACCTGCCCCACCTTGTGGCACCTCGCCCCACCTTGTGGCACCTCGCCCTACCTATTTTTAATAACAATGAAAATCATCAACATTAAGTCCAGATCACCCGGCACCGCACCTAGGGATGAGTCTAGTTTTGAGGCGCCTCAAAACTAGATGAGCATGAAGGCGGGCCAGGGCCCGCCCGGGTCGGGCCCTCCCGGAAATGCCCCGGGCCGGGCATCATAATTTCGACGTGGGCCCGGGGCGGGCCGGGCCAGCCCGGCCCGCCGGGCCGCAGCCGCCCGATTTTGGCCCGCCCATGTACGGGCCGGGCCAGGCCGGGCCGCATCGGAGTGCAAAAATACAACAGAAACAGCCCAAAAATACATCCTGTGGGCGATTATGACTGCACCCGGGCCGGGCCAGCCCGCCCGCCTTAAGGTCGGGCTCGGGCCAAGAGTTTCCTTCTACGGCCCGGGCCAGGCCCGGCCCGCCCGGAGCTCAACCCTAACCGCACCCCACCCCCACCCACCTCGTCCCACCTTGTGGCACCTCGCCCCACCTCGCCCAACTACCTCACCTTGGGGCACATGAGGTTGGTGCAGCGTAGACAACACACACACCTGCCCCATCCGCCCCACGCTGTCCCTCACCTTCCTTCCTCCTTCCTTTCTTCCCTCACCTTGGGGCACATGAGGTTGGTGCAGCGCAGATCGTCACTAGCAGTCAAGTCCAGATGCTGCCATGCCACGTGGCAGGAGGTGGAGCTTGGGAGGGAGATGGAATGATATGGTGAGGGAAGGAAGAGGTTGGAGTGGAGAAGAAAGAGGTTGGAGTGGAGAAGAAAGAGGTTGGAGTGGAGAAGAAAGAGGTTGATTCGAGTGGGAGTGAGGAAAATGTACAGGAGAATCGAAGAAGGGAGTGAGAGCACTGGCGGCAATGGGGGCAATGGGGGCAATGGGGGCAATGGGGGCAGTGGGGGCAGTGGGGGCAATGGGGGCAGTGGGGGCAGTGGGGGCAGTGGGGGCAGTGGGGGCAGTGGGAAGGAACTGAGAAGTGGAGCGACGGAAGGCAAGACACAAGATGTGAGTGAGGTGGGAGGCGGGGGAAAGGTGGAGGGAGGTAGGGGAGGTAAGGGGGACGGGGGGGGAAGACTTGAAGGAAGGAGGTAGTGGGGTGGGAAAGGGGAGGGAGGGGCATGGATCGGAGGCAGGAGGGAGGGGACAGTGAGGGGAACGGGAGGGGGATGGGACCCAGGGATGAGACAAGAGTGAGACATAGCAACACCGCCTCACAAACTCCCCTCATTACTCCCCTCGCTGCTCCCCTCTCTCTGCTTCCCTCGCTGCACCTCACACGATAGAAGTTACCAACCTTCCATCCCCCGCTGCCACTCACCTCAACAGTCGCCGCATTTCGCAGGGCAACAGACAGCGAGTTTGCCCGCTTCGCCGCGTCGCCATCTCGTCGCGAACCCGCGCCATCGTCGCCCCGCGAGTCGCAGCGACCGTCAATGTTCGCCACGCCCTCTGCGGCGGATGAGTCCGGATTCATCTCGCGGAGATCGATATCGCCGCAAGTCAAATCCGCACTCTCATTCCCCCTCGCGTCTCCCCTCGCTTCCCCCCTCGCGTCGCCCCGCTCATCCGCTGCTTGCGCGCACGCAGCATCGTCCGCGCGGGCATCGCGTGGCGCTCCGCTCCGCGTGGCCGCCACCAAATCGCCCTCAAGAGCTCGACTGATCCCGCGCCGCTGCAGCAGCGAGGCAGTGAGAGGATAGGGGCAGAAACGCGAGTGGAATAACATCGTCCAAGAATGACCACAAAGAAGTGGCCGATATGTGGGGCGTGGCCTATTAGCTCAGCTGGTTAGAGCGTCGTGCTAATAACGCGAAGGTCACAGGATCGAAACCTGTATGGGCCAACGTTTTACCTTGTCTCGCCTATGAGATCTTGTGATGCTCAAATGTGTTCCAACGAGATCTCGGCCCAGTTCGGCAGCCACGGAAGAAGGACGGAAGAAAAAATTTGCCGTCTCAAAGAAGTTTCTGATCGCATTAACGAGGGCGAAACAGTGCGGGCTGTAGGGTTAAAATTTTCAGAAATCGAAGCGCAGGTGTTTAGCAGCAGCGACGCTAACACCACCCAAAATTGATTCCGCGCCGTCTTCTGTCCTTCTTCTCCCCCCCTGGCGGAAAGCTTCCGCCCTAGTGAGACGGAAGAAGAAAGTGATTCTTTGAAAATGTAAGAATCAATTTTTTTATTCCACGTAGAATTTTGTATACGGGACAACATTGCGCCCTAAAGAGGCAAGGGTTATGCACACAGAAAACCTAATTGATAGTTTTTCCACAGCAGGGTTGCCCCTATAGCGTGCCTTTCAACCTTTTTTTTTAGGCGGGCCTTTCTCTTCCCGCTACAGTGAACTTGGGCATGCGAAATTGATGGAAAATGTGCCTGCACCTGCGGTGATTTTACATACCTCCCCCCTCTACCCTGCGCCATCTTTCAGATGGCGCAGGTTGTCCGCAATTCGCGGAAACAGGGGTCAACATTCGTTGACCCTGAGTTGACGCCCACTTTAGGGCGCGTCAATTCGCGCGACATTCAAAATTTGGGAAATCCGTCGGGCAAGTTTGGCGACAGTAACCAGCTAGCGACGCTCGCAATAAATTTGGCGAGTTTCGCGAATTTGATGGCCGATTTAATGGCCGTTTTGATGAGACGACTCGGAAACGACGCCGAGTCGACTGCAAACCGGCCTCGATTCCGACGCGTCGGTGCGACAGAATCTGGCACGTCGCACACAGTAACCAGCGACTGAACATGAGGCACGTGTACAGAGTTCAGGTGTGCGATCCCGTCGTACGAACCCGGTCATTTGGGCGACTGCAAATTTTACAGTTTCTGTATTGCGGCCTGCAAATCGGCCAGCAAACCTGTCAAATTTGCAGTTGTTGCAAAAGCAGGCCGACTCCGGTCGTCATGAAGTCGACCATTTGGGCGTTTTTCGCGAAATAAATGTCGACCAGGTCGTCGACAAAATAGCGGCCAAAAGCCAATTTCGCAAATGCGGGGGAAATTGACGCGCCCTTACCTTCCGATCAACCTCCGAACATTTTTCTTCCCCCTGGCTGCCGAACTGAGCCCTCGTGAGGTTTCAATGTTACCCAGGGTAGCAAATGCTTCATTGTTTGTCTTCGTCCGACTGACGAGGTTTGCGGCTAGCCTGCACTTGCACTCACTGACTCGCACCGAACCGAACCGAACCACGGGGTGCGCCGCTTTTGCAACACGTGCGAACACGATTTTGATAGATCCTCTTCTCTTCAGGAATCCTCCTCCCAAAGAAACAACATGGTCAGGGCGTGTAACATTTTCCGTTTTCCGGCCGGGCTATTTTCAAACCGGAAGAGAACAGGTTACAATTTTTGCCAAACGGCGTTACACAGTTCGTTAGGGGGGTCGCGACGTCGCCGACGTCCGGACAACTTCTGTCACTTCCCGCCTTCTAGGGCCATGTGAGTTCCGTCCGTCAGGGTGTCCGAATGCTTTACGAACCGTCCCATTATGCCTCGCTGTCATTGGCGCACGACACCCAAAACTGAAATGGATAGGCGCCACGCTGTCACGCCTGCCTGTCATTGGCGCACGTTGTTTTTCACGAAATATGCACATGCGACTACAGTTACTAGTCGCAAAATTCAAAACCCGAAAATGTGACACCTACAATCCGAGCGTCCGTCCGGGCCTCAAACGGACGGTTTGGATACTTGTCCGGACATTTTGACAAAATGGAAAATGTTACACGCCCTTACACTGATCACCATACTGTTTGTCAGAAACGCTCGCCTGCCAGCTCACTCTCCTTGACTCACGGCACATGGTACGGGCACATAGTACGGTGCATAGTACTACCACTACGAGTCTGAATCATGCCCAGTACCACGCCGAAAAATCGTTTTCCTGGACCCTCCGCGTCACGTTTTGCAAATGATGTCGCACCTTGCATTCTCCTTCTCGCGGCCCTCACGCTCGCTGCCGGGGCCACTGCTTGCTCCCTTTCCAGCAATACTATTAATAGTATTAGTTATCCACTGTCGCTCCGAGATGCCCCGGCACGTCCGTACGAACAACGCCTGCTGTCTCGCGCTCGACCCGGCCGGCGGCGCTCGTTAAAGCTCGTCGCCACCGGCGGTTTCAGAGCGGCCGGCGCGAGCGGTGCAAGGCCCGTCGTACTCGAAGAGTCGCAATGTGAGTCTCTAGTCATCCGTTTAAAGCTCCCAGGGACCTTCCCAGCGACCTTCCCAGCGACCTTCCCAGCGACCTTCCCACTGAATGGCATTCCCACATATCCCCCCATTCTGAGCCATATATCCCCCATCCCGAGCCACATATCCTCCCGTTCCGAGCCACATATCCTCCCGTTCCGAGCCGCATATCCTCCCATTCCGAGCCACATATCCGTCCATTTCGAGCCACATATCCTCCCATTCCGAGCCACATATATCCTCCCATCCCGAGCCACATATCCCCCCATTCCGAGCCACATGTCCCCCCATCCCGAGCCACATATCCCCCCATCCCGAGCCACACATCCTCCCATTCCGAGCCACAGATCCCCTCATCCCGAGCCACAGATCCCCCCATCCCGAGCCACATATCCCCCCATCCCGAGCCACAGATCCCCCCATCCCGAGCCACAGATTCCCCCATCCCGAGCCACATATCCCCCCATCCCGAGCCACATATCCCCCCATCCCGAGCCACATATCCCCCCATCCCGAGCCACAGATCCCCCCATCCCGAGCCACATATCCCCCCATCCCGAGCCACATATCCGCCCATTCCGAGCCACATATCCGCCCATTCCAAGACAAATGTTCTCCCATTTCGAGCCACATATCCACCAACATACCCTCCCATCCCGAGCTCGAGCTCTCATGGGCAGACAAAGTCTTGCGTTGCGCGCGCTCAGGCAGGTCCAGGCCTGCTTATTACTCCTCGCTACCCACTGGGTCAAAACGAGGGTGTTATTTGGCGCAGCGGAATGGCCATTAACACTGCCCACAGGCGTTACACCGCTCTTCCAGCCGCACTGTGCTGGCATTGAAACCGCTTCTGCGTAAATCTGCTCCCATTTTCCCGTTTTCCCATCAGTGACCCCCCCTTCCCCCCCCCCCCCCCCCCCCCCCCCCCCCCCCCCCCCCTCCCTCTTTTTCCTGCTTAACTCTACTCCCGTTTCCCCGTTGTACCGGCATTGAAGGCACTGCTGCAGCTGAAGCAGGCGTGGGGCATTTGGGCGGGCAACAGCAACGCTATGATTGCGTGTCCCCCCCGTTTTTTCCCATTCCCAATCGCATGAATGTGCCCCCATTTCCCCGCTATGACGGCAGTGAGGGTGCTGCTGCAGCTGCAGGAGGCGAGGGGCATTTGGGCGGGCAACAGCAACGCCATGACTGCGTGTTCCCCCCCCTCCCCCTCCCAATTGCATGAATGTGCCCCCATTTCCCCGCTATGACGCCAGTGAGGGTGCTGGTGCAGCTGAAGGAGGCGTGGGACCATTTGGGCGGGCAACAGCAACGCCACCACTGCGTGTCCCCCCTTTCTCCCCCTCCCAATTTCATAAATGCGCCTCCATTTCCTCCTTGTGCCCGCCAGTGAGGGTGCTGGTGCAGCTGAAGGAGGCGTGGGACATATGGGCGGGCAACAGCAACGCCACCACGGCATGCTCTGCATGGACTGGCGTCACCTGCAGCCCCAACGGGCTTGTAGTCTCCCTGTGAGATTCGTTGCCCTGTGAGAGTCTCATTGCCCTCTGTGAGTCTCACAGGGCAAGCATCTATGGGGCGACGGACGTGGTTGGTCTGCCGCTCGAGCAGGGGTCGCTGTCCCATTGATGTGTATGGTGCTGTATCTGTCATTTATTGCACCCACCCTTCTCCTGATTGCTCTGTGAGTCTCACAGAGCAAGCGTTGACGGGTTGACGGACGTGGTTGGTCTGCCGCTCGAGCAGGGGTCGCTGTCCCATTGATGTGTACGGTGCTCTGTTTGTCATTTATTGCACCCTCCTCCTCCTCGTTGCCCTATTTGCCCCTCATTGCGCTGGCTGCCTGTGAGTAACGCACCTCCTCTGAATAACGGCCGCCTTGGCCCAGCCCAGTGGTGTAGGTCACTGGGCGTTGGTACTGGGACGGCATTTGAAGCGCCTCAGTCTCAGAAACCGTTCTCCTCGTTGCCCTTATTGCCTTGCCGCCCCTCGTTGCTCTCACTGCCTGTAACCTGCACTACCTCTGAATAACGCCCGCTTTCGCCCAGTGGTTTCGGGCACTGGGCGTTGTACCAGTGGACCAATGGAGCCCCAAGTAGGAGCCATGGCTAGCGTGGCAGCGGCTGCTCTTAGCAAACAAATGCTTAGGTTTAGTTTTTGTTTGCTAAACCTAAGCGTTTGTTTGCTAAGAGCAGCCGCTGCCACGCTAGCCAT